AATAAAGTAGATCTGCGCCATCAGCCTGGTTTCCGGTGTCTTGTTTTCACTGTACCGCCTCTTACAACGGGCCCAGGTCCCTCGACCCAAGGAGGTTCGACCTCAACCTCAGTTTATTCATAACACTAGACACTAAAATGAAACCCTATCAACTTAATAATGAATTAATATGCTTTATAAATCTGTGAGATTGGCAGATCTGAAAATAAACAATGGTTTCAGTTCTATCATTGAATAAAGCTACTAAAATAATGGAAATAGCTTTCTTGGGAGTTATCAAACTAATTTCTGCAATTTAGTAGTGTAAACTTGATCCCTGGTTTTCCAACTGAACTGAAAATTTCTAAAATTGGGGCTGATTTATTGTTCCTGCTATTAATTTTCTTTAGAAGTTTGTGACATTTATTAGGTAGAAATATTTACAAGTACTAGCTTGAAAGCTTTCAGAAAGTGTCAAAATAGAAGTGTATACTCACCCACAGTTTTCACTCTTTTTTTTAAATGAAGAAACATGTTCTTAAAAAATGATTAAATATATGTATGTCCCAATGACTTGCAAAACATTTTTGAGTCTTTTCAGTCATTATTCATAACTACTAAATGAAAGAATGGGAAACTTTTAGTCAAAGGATATTGGTTATCTCGATTGTGAAGGAAATCTTCAGGTTATTTGGATAATATTCTACCTTTAAACAACAAAACTTATGTGCTAAGGAAGCAGTTTACTCACTGATACACAGGAAATTGTGCTACTTCTTGTCTGCACACATGCATTCTATGATAAAGGGAAGTTTCTATTCAATAAAAACTTTTAATAATGTATCAGTACAGAAAGGTACTGATAAGGTATAGAAAAGTAGGTGTCTAATTCCTCATAAAAGGCCCAAGGGTCTCACCCTCTAGTTGTTACATCTGGAGTGCTATGAATTCTAACTCAGAACATGAATGTAACTTTTTAAATAATAGATGTGAGAATGAAATTTTTACATCTAATTTCATTATTTCATCTGTAAAGCATAAATGTTATTGCCCATGCATACAGGTTTCACCCAAAATACACAACAATAGGGACTTGAGGAAATCAATACAAAAAATGGCTTACCTAAAATTTCAGTGTAAAATTGACTCCACTTCTTCTCATTAAATGTCTGAAACCAGAAGTCAAAATACAGCAAGTGCAGCATATTTTTCACCCTCTCCATGAAAGTCATTTGACCGCTTAGTCTTGACAGAATAACAGGTACATAAGAAGGAGGAAATAGAAGGCCTGCATTGTACTTTTCATATGTGTAACCAGGAGAGAAGCGGAGGGTGTACACTAAAGGAATTTTCAGTAGTTCAGCCATCAGGTCCCCACCAGGAAACATGGCATCTGCAAGAAGGACGTCAAACTTTGATTCTTGTAATTTTGTAAGAAGTTTCTTGTTCAGAACTGCACCTTTAGTAATGTTATAATAAACATCAGAAAACTCCCAGAACATGTCTTGCAGCTGTGGCAAATATTTCCAGTAGGGGTACTTTGACATGGTATATATCCAGGTATCAAGCATTCCTTGAAGAAAAATCATCATTTCTTCTGTATTGGAACATGTAGGAAAAGTTTCAAATTTTATATCGGATGGACTATTGAGATTAAGAAAAACAGCAGATGAAGGTCTGAGGACTGTCACCTCATGGCCCCGCTGTACAAGTTCAGTGAGGATCACATGTACATTCAACCAGTGGCTATACTCCATGGGCCACACCAGCACCTTCCCACAGCTCCCAGCACTAAAGTAACTGCACAAATGGAGCAGCAGCAGAATTCTCTTCATTATCCTCAACATCTTGGTAAAGCTGAGTGCTTCCTGCCACAGTACTCTGCTTGCTGTAATTATTAGTGATGCTTACTAGTATTTACTTAATGTGAACCAAGAAGTTAAAGTATAACTTTCATTGATCATAGTCCTAGTAAATTTCCTCATTGCTGAGGCAACACATAAAACCCAAAGTTCAAGTGAAAGTGTTTGTGTGGCTCACAGTTTGTCGAAATTTTAGTCCATAATCTTCTGGCTCG